AAGGAAGGAAGGAAGGAAGGAAGGAAGGAAGGAAGGAAGGAAGGAAGGAAGGAAAAGCTTGTACTTCTCTTACAGAGGGCCTGAGTTGCATTCCCAGTACCCACAACAGGTGGCTCACAAACACCTAAGACTCCAGTTCTAGGGGATCTGGTGCCCTCTTCTGGCCTCTGTAGGCACCTGCACTCATGTGGCATACAGAGACATACACACATGAAAATAAAAACAATTTTTTTTTGTTTGTTTGAGACAAGGTCTCACTGTACAGACTCGGCTGGCCTAGAATTTGCTATGTAGACCAGGTTCGCCTCCAAATGACTGAAATCCTCCTGCCTCCCAAGTGCTGGGATTAAAGACATGTACACCACACTTGGCTAAAAGTAAATCTTTAAAAAAGTTAAAATTTAAAAAAAAGCATAACGTGGGGGGCTGGAGAGATGGCTCAGAGGTTAAGAGCATTGCCTGCTCTTCCAAAGGTCCTGAGTTCAATTCCCAGAAACCACACGGTGGCTCACAACCATCTGTAATGAGATCTGGTGCCCTCTTCTGGCATGCAGGTGTACACACAGACAGGATATTGCATACATAATAAATAAATAAATATATTTTTTAAAAAAGCACAGGTAAGGAAGTGGACAGCAGTTGAGGAGTGTCACGTGAGGCCGTCATTTGGCCTCTACACACACATGTATACATCCACCATGCAGAAAAACGGACACGGAATCAAAGGCAAACAAAGAAAAACAGAAACAAAAGTCAGGGGCAGCCGTTACTTAGCAACCCTCAGGTCCGGTTCAGGTTGCAGCCCTCCAGTTGACACATCCCCTGACCATGCAGCTGCCCCTTCATGAGCCTCCTCACCGAAGTGCTGCCTCCACACCCAGCAGGTGCTTATAGACGAGCTGAGCCTCAAGGTCAAGGTCCAGGGGGTCATTCCATTCCTGCAGGGTCACCCGAGAGTGGGTCCTGTCACAGCCCTGGTCTGGAGGCAGAGACAGGGCAGAGTTACAATGGAAATACCATGTCCACCTTCCCGGTAGTACAGAAAGGGGAAACTGAGGCTGGGAGTGACGGAAGGGCTGATGAAGGGCCCCAGCGGTGGTAAGGTGGCCCTGGCTCTGTCTGTCACTATCTCCACTTTGGCTTCAGCTGCTGGCCCACACAGTCTATACTACGGACTGTGGGTGTCCTGTGGCAGTCAGATCAGGGGAGCTGGTAGCTTTCTGGAAGGTCTGTCTGGAGGTTGCCCTGAACTACATGATCATGGTCGGGTGGACCTGAACTTCTTGTATCGGAATAGACTGTCCTGTTACTCACCAGCTCTGCCACGTTTGTCCACTCACCTGCCCACTGTAAGCCCCAGTTGTAGACTGTGGACATGACCTAGCAGTAGAGCTGTTGCCTAGAACCCCTGAGCGAGGGGCTGGGAGTGGCTGTGTGGTGGGAGAGTGGTTACCTAACACGTCTGTGGGCCTGAGTTCCACATGTAGCAACACACACACACACACAAACATACACACACTGTAAGGCTCTTCCCAGTAAAATGAAATCTCCGGTTGTGTCCTGGGCCACAGTGAGGCCCACAACAGCTTTAATGAGGGAACTGCTCTGAGGGCCACAAGGAGTCATCAATACAAAGTCAGGGCAGGGAGGGTGCAGTCAGTGCACAGGGGTGGAGGGCTTTTCCTATGCCAGGCTCTGGGGGCTGAGGCTCAGAGGGCAGAGGGTTCAAGTCTTCAACTCTGTGAGTGGGGAAGGTCTTGGAATTTCCAGAATTGATGGACACGGTGTCACATGACTTTAATGCCAGAACTCAGGAGGGCTGGAGAGATAACGGCCCTGCAGTTGAGAGCACTAGCTACCATTCCAGATAATCAGGGTTTGATCCCCCAGAACTCACATGGCAGCTCACAGGCATCTATAACTCCAGTTCTAGGGGACCCAACAAACTCTTCTGACCTCTAAAGACACCTCCTCACACACATGTGGCACTCACACAGATGCACATGTGTACACATAAATAAAACAAATGTGTATTAAAAATAAACATAAATCTTTAAAAAGAGAGATACTAATGAGTTTTCAGGCTTTGTCAGAATATCCAAAATCACTCACACGTACATAGCACACACACTTTGCACCCCCTTGGCACAGCATTTACCAAACCACCCAATCTCTCTGTGCTCAGAGCACCTGCAGGGCTGACTTTCCTTGGGCAGCTTTGCCGTGGGTAAGCATGTGGCTTTCCAGTCAGGCTGTCCCCAGTGTCTCAAGAAGCCTTCTCCCAACCTATGACCTGCTTGGGACAGACGTGGAGGGACCCAGGATTCCCACCTGTCCGGTCCTTCTGGTGACAGCAGCTCCACTTGTCCCCGCGGAAGATGCCAGGGTGGTATGAACCCAGGAGTCCCGTGTTGTTGACGCTCACCTTACGCAGTGCAGACAGCCACTGGTTCAGCTCATTCACACACTGTGGGGACAGCGTCTCTCAGAGGTCAGCCTTCTTCCTCCCCAGGCGGAAGCCCTTTCCTGAGCCACCTCCCCAGCCCTCTCAGGCACTCTACTTGATACATATCAAACTAGAACAACAGGGGAAGAGGGAAGTCAAAAGAGGAGCTGCCGCCATCAGATTAACCCCTGACTGATGTGGGAGGGCCCGACCCACTGTGGGCAGCACCAACGGTGTGCAGCTGGCCCTAGGGGGTATAAGAAAGCAGGCTGAGCAAGCCATGAGAAGCAAGCCAGGAAGCTGCATTCTCCATGGGTTCGGCTTCAGTTCCTGCCTCCAGGCTCCTGTCTGGCTTTCCCTGATGGTGGACTATAACCTGGAAGACAAGTAAACCCGTTCCTCCCCAAGTTGCTTTTGGTCACAGCCTTCATCACAGCAACAGAAACCTATTTAAGACACCAACCTTCAACCCCTCACTGGGGGATTCTAGGCGGGCGCTCTACCTCTGAGCCATACCCCAGCCCCTCACTGGGGGATTCTAGGCAGGGGCTCTACCACTGAACCACACCCCAGCCCCTCACTGGGGGATTCTAGGCAGGTGCTCTATTGTTTGAATCATGGCACCCCCACTCCCCTCCAGAATATCACTTGACACTTTTAATATTTACTCTTGGGAACTAAGGCATTGAGTCCCAGGCTCGCCTGATCTACAGTGAGTGTTAAAAAAAATCCAGGACAGAAAAGGAAAAGGCAAGCAAGCTTTGAGTCACAGGAACCTGGCTATCCATCTAGCCATACACACACCTACATATGGAGGCCCATAGCAAGCATGGACCACGCATCTGGGCACGAGACTCCAGAGCACTTAGACACACACAGCTTGAAGTACCTAATGTGGCCGACAGAGGGCGAGGGGGGGACTCCTGAAGCCCCTCCCCACAGTGCCCTCCACAGGTCGCACCTTGCACTGCAGGTAGACAGTCTGGGCCCGGCCAACATCGTCTGCATAGATGACCTGCATGACGTGGGAGCTGCCAAAGCTCTTTTCCTCCACCTTCTCCGCAGCCCGGATGCTGGCGAGCTTGATGAAGGCGCTTTTCTGGGGCAGCCAGAAAAAGGAGGCTGAGGGGGCCGGGCAAAGCAGGGCTGTTCTGCTTTCTTCTCTGGCCTCCACATCCCCGTCAGCACGAGAAATTAGGGCTTACGGTGAGGGATCTTAACAACTCATGGCTTCTGTTCCCAGGGGCCTGCTCTGGGAAGGGATCCCAGCTACAATCAAGCACAGGTTTGATTGTGACCAAACCCCAAGGCCCTAGGAAGAGTGCAAATGATACCCGGGAATGGGAGGGGTGCTAACCGTAGGCTTATATCCAGACACCCCTTCTCTGGGTGACAAAGGCCCAGGTATTGAGGCTAAACCTGCTTTTAGGGTTTGCGTCATGAAGGTCTGCGTGCGGAGTATGTGGTAAGCTAAAACACCATACCCATAAGCACTCTGTCCACTAGGCTATAGTCCTATTTGCTGTTTTGTTTTGAGACAGGGTCTCATGTAACCCAGACTAGCTTTGAACTGTCTATGTCGGTGAGGCTGATCTTGAACTCCTGATCCCCCTGCTTCTACATCCCAATTGCTGGGATTATAAGCATCACCGTCCTAGACAGCTTCCCTTCTCGCTCACCTTGGAGCTGGATGTCTTGGCGAAGCTGAGGGTTTCCGTGGTGAGAGAGAAGTACAGTTTCTTGAACGAGGAGGACGCAAGAGGGCCTTTGCCTTTGGTCCTATGGATGAACAGCGGTCCCTCCTTCACAGGCGGTGCCTGCGAGTTCAATGCCCGCTGCAGGTCCAGCTCTGGAAAGCACGCAAGAAAACGATGGATGGAAAACGCGAGGAAATGGGTTGGGGAGCTTAGGGGAGGAGCTAAGAATAGACTAGAGTTGAGTCAAGCTGGGGGCGGAGCAAAGGTAAACCGAACGGTGTGATTAGCGGTGGGCGGGGCCGTGGGTAAAAAGAGCCAGGGATGACGGTCTGTTCAGGAAGTGTTGGTGTATGGTGGACAAGGCACTGGGTTCTATCCCCAGCACCACATAAAACCTGGCTTTGGTGGCACATGCCTGTAATCTCAGCCCTTTGAAGGTAGTGGCAAGAGGATCATAAGGTTTAAAGTTATTCTTGGCAGTGGGTTTGCGGCCAGCCTTAGGTTACATGGGACCTGGTCTAAAACAAACTAACAGAAGTTGGAGTCGACAGAGAGAACTGGCTTTGTTTCGGTGGGCAGGGCGGTAGGCGGGGTCAAGTAATAGACTTGCACGAATGCCTTGGGCGCAGTACTGTGGGAAAGTCCTTGCCTTCCTTCTCTTCTATGTCCACGAGCTTGGTGATGAAGTCCTTCAGCTGTGCCACACCCTGGCGCACAGTGGGCTGTAGCGGTTCCATCCACGCCTCTTTGGCCCTGGAGACCGGTGTGTCCAGATTGCCTACATTCTGCACTACCTAGGGGTGACAGCAAGAATGACAAAGCTTTGGGGAGACAACAGTTCTTCCATGGCTACCTACCTCAACCTAGCAACAAAGACGGAGGCCGAGGAGGCAGGGGCCTGACCGTGGTCCTAGGTAGGACTCGGGGATGCATGGATCACGGCATTTTGAAACTTTGGACACCTGATTACTTGGAACCAACCTTTCTGCTTTCGTCTGCAAATCTGCCTAATCTTATCATCGTGGGCATGCTGGGGAGTGCCTGGGCATGTGTGAAGTCCGCCGATGATTGTGGGAGTTGGTTCTCCCCTTCCATCATGCGGGCTCCAAGGATGGAACTCGGGTCATCAGGTTTGGCAGCAAGTATCCTACCTACTGAGCTGTCTTGCTGGCCCCGCAAGTTTCATCCTAATATCAGACTTCAGATACATGCAGACCTGGGGATAAAACCTGCATTCGAAGACCCTAGTTTACTCTACGGGCTCTGGGATTTGTCTCCTTATGTATGGATGGGGCTCTCAAGAGGTGGTCACAGGAATGCTTTGTAAACTGTGACGTGCAATGCCATGGAGTACCAGTGGCCTGGTTGCAAGGCATTCCTAGTGCCAATTGGTGCGACACTACGGAGTAGGCCAGGCTCCCTTTGCAATTTAACTGGTCTTCCCACCCCAGTCTGCAAGTCCACACCTTGGCCAGCAGGAGTAGCGTGCGGCTGGTCCGAGCATCTGCATGCCGCTCTCGCAGATGGAAGAGCTTGGGGGACATGATGGCAGGAGAGAAGAAGCGCAGGCACAGGAAGCTAGTGACAGCGATGAATGGTACATTCTGGAAGGGTGCAGAGAGTAGAGACTGGTCTAGAAGCCGGTCTGTCTTCCAGGGCCTACATCCCGCAGGATTCCCTTTCCTCTCTCTGCTTTCGGCTCTGCCGACATGGGTCGCACCTGGTGCTGGGCGCTTGGGAAGCGCTCCCGCACGCGCCGGAACAACTGCCGGAAAGTGGCGCGGACCATAGCTGGGCATGCGCGAACCGAGCGGCATAGTGCACTCAGCAGCGCCACCAAGTGGGTACGCAGCGTCTGTGCGCTCTGCTGCAACACCTCGGCCTCCGTCTGTGGGCGGTGCAGCCCAGAGCACCTATACCGGCAGGAATTAACCAACAGAGGGTGAGAACGTGGTGGCAGGGGCTCCCCTTGGTCATCGAACACAGAGAGAAAGGACAAGTGAACCCAGGCAGAAGGAACCATAACACTTGGATACGGGGCCTGATTCCGCACAATTATGCACCCAACGATCACCCCGGTCTCACCCTACATCCTTAACTTCCACTTTGCTGGGGTCCAGCTCCACATATTTCTTCTCCTCGAACACTCTGTCAATTATGGGGCCCAGGATGCCATGCAGATAGCGCATTCCTGCCACCTGGGGGCCACCAGAAACCACACGAGTTAACCATCCTGTGTACCATCTGACTGGAGTATTGACTCAGCTTTGGGCCAGATACACAATTAGACTCAGTGTACTTCACTGAATGTGTCTATATGTATGCATGAATAAATGCATGTATATGATGGAAGTTTTGGCCTTCAAGGGCCGTGGACAAACAGAACTACCTTCTGTGAATCTGAGGGTCTTTATGAAACCTCACCTTCAGAAAACACTCCATGGATTTTGAGGCCAGAGAATTGCTCCGGAAGAGGGTGTTGGCCTCACCTGCAAGCACAAATTCTAGTGAGCAGGGAGCGGGGACAAGGCCTTGGAGGCCGGAGGACAAAGGGATGGAGCCTCTAAGTGGCCCCTCAGCAGATGCTCTTCTCAATATTTCCCACCTGCCCCACCTGGACTGTTTGTTCTTTATTAGGGAGGGGGTGGCCCTGCTTCCATGTTAGAGGGACCTATCAATGTGCTAAAGAGAGAGGGCTTTCTCCACCCTGCCTGGGGCAACTCCTCTCAGGCCTCACTGGTTCGGCCCAGCTCCAGCTGAAAAAGCAGGTCCAGAAAGTCCTTGGCCAGTCCCTGCCCCAGGAAGAGCTTGAGCAGGGTGGTGGCCACTTCCTGGCGACACTCAGCACTTGTTGTCTCCTCGATGATGGGAATCAGCTGCCCTGGGCCCTGCAGAAAGCAGCAGAAATGTGGAGCTCCAACCTACCAAGGAACATGACCCTCCCCAGGGTTAAGACCTCAGAGCATCATGGGGAGGTTGTTGGGGACAGGGTGGGGATCTCTGGACATTGATGAGTGCATTCCCAGCCCCAGGAGCTAGCCTGTTGCTTTGCCGAATGGGTTCAGGACAGGCAAACTGCTCAACTAAGCATGGAAGCTCCCAGTTTCCCTCAAAGCCTCCTCACCTGGGTGCCCAGTTTCACCTCTTGGCACAGAAGCTGCACGAGAGGCTGGTAGCAGATGGATGGCAACACTGTCTCATCCCGCAGCCGCACCTCCAACTGTAAGGAGCCCAGGTTGCCCCTGGAATGGGCAGTCTGTGATCTCTCCACCAGGGACCCAGTTTCCCTGGGCCACACCCACTCACAAAGGCTCAGGCTCTGTGCCTTTGAGATTAGCCATGCATTCTCTTTGTTTATGTCCATCAGCTGCTTTGCAAGTCCCTCCCCCCAGCTCTGCCTTTCTGTGTCTCTGTCTGGAAGACCCTTCTTGCCTAATTACCCAAAGAATTTCCACCCATTTTCAAAGCCTAGTTCTTTTTTTTTTTTTAAGATTTATTTATTGGGCTGGAGAGATGGCTCAGAGGTTAGAGCACTGTCTGCTCTTTTAAAAAAAAGATTTATTTATTTATTGTGTATACAACATTCTGCCTCCATGTATGCCCACACGCCAGAAGAGGGCATCAGATCTCATTACAGATGGTTGTGAACCACCATGTGGTTGCTGGGAATTGAACTCATGACCTCTGGAAGAGCAGCCAGTGCTCTTAACCACTGAGCCATCTCTCCAGCCCCAAATTCTAGTTCTTTCATGCCTCCTGACTCCAGTGGACCATGGGAATCCACCTGAGTATACCAAACTCTCATATTCCAAATCTATCAGCTCCTGAACACCACCACGTCACCTGTACGCTTTATCCAAGAAGCAAGTGGTTAACCTACCAGAGAAATTCTGACTCAGGCAAGTTAGGTAGCACACCATAATAAATCTAACCACCAAGAGTCCATGATTCTTTTGGAGAGGGCACTGACTAAGGCTGTCAATGTTCCTTATGGTTCCCACTACCCTCCCCACACAGCACACTGAGGCAGCCACACTGCCCAGCACATACTCCGTGAGCTGAAGCCATCAAAGCTGTCCTAGACTGCTTCTAGGCAAATGCCTTGGGCTGGACACACCCCTGGCCATCTGCCCATGCCCTGAGATGAGGGATGTGGGACCTTCTTCAGGGAACCAAAGCTGAGTCAGTTGAGAAGTGTAACGGGGACAGAAACAAGCCAAAGACTTTTCTAGATGTGGCCACCAGACTGAGCAGAATAAAATCACAAGGGCTAGAGAGATAGCTCAGAGGTTAAGAGCCCTGACTGTTCTTCCAGAAGTCCTGAGTTCAATTCCCAGCAACCACAGGGTGGCTCACAACCATCTGTAATGAAATCTGGTGCTTTCTTCCAGCCTGCAGATAGAACACTGTATACATAATAAATAAATAAATCTTTAAACACACACACATACACACATACACACACACACACACACACACACACACATGACACCAAGCTAAATTAGTGAAGTTTTAGTATCAGTATGGCTTGAATACTGCCTGATCTTCTTTCTTGAGACAAGGTCACACCTTGTAGATTCAGACTAGCCTGGAACTCTAGATCCTCCTGCCTCAGTTTCCTAAGAGCTTCGATTACAGATGTGAACCATCACACCTGGTTTGCATTCTTTTTTCTTTTCCTTCCTTGCTTGCTTGCTTGCTTTTTGTTTGTTTGTTTGTTTTGTTTTGTTTCTTGGTATTTTTTTTTGAGACAGGGTTTCTCTGTGTAACAGCTCTGACTGACCTGGAACTCACTCTATAGGCCAGGCTGGCCTTGAACTCACAGACATCCGCCTGCCTCTGCCTCCCGAGTGTTGGGATTAAATGTGTGTGTCATCACACCTGACAGTGGCTTGCATTCTTACATTAAACTGGGGTTACACAGGTGTGTCATTCTGCTTCACTCCAGGTGTCTCATCTGTGCACATGCCACTGTGCATGTGTGAGGTCAGAGGATCGCTTGAGAGAGTCGGGGTTGCCGGCTGCTGAGCCATTCTGACAGTACAGGGTGCTCTGGCGTTTATTTATCTTTCCGGTACTAGAAACCAGATCTATGGCAAGTGCCTACAGGGCAGGCACTCTACAACGGGTATATCACCAACTCTGCCTGGCCTTTCATGAGGCAACTCTATTTCTGGAAACTCTTGGGGAATGAGGGTTTGGAGTCATGGCTCTGAGATATTCTCTCTAGGGACCAGAGAGCTACAAGAAAGCCCTTTAAAGGAAGGAGTCTGAGGACTTATTCTAGAAAGTGCCAGGACTCACAAAACAGGAGATCCATGCATAAATTTTAGCTCAGAAGACAAAGGTGTATAAAAACAGCGGGAAGGTCCCACCAGGATGAGAGAGGGGCTGGCCCAGCGGGCAAAGGCTGAAGGACACGTGACCTCTGTACTCTTGGCCCCTGACCAATCAACCACCCGTAGGCACTCTGTCTCAGCACACACCCCAAGGCCCAGAGGGGCACTTACTCGCCTCGTCGGCTTTTGGACTGGTCAGGTTGCAGCCGGAACCAGCCTTCTTCCTGCCGGGCTGAACACAGTCTCTGGACATTGACAACCACCTGGGAAAAGGGCAGATCAGGGCTGGGACACTTAGGTCACCTCCTAGTCAAGTGCTGATCTTTTATCTTTTCTTTTTCTGAAGCTGGGGATAGAACCCAGGGCCTCACAGATGTTAGGCAGATGCTCTACCACTGAGCCACACCCCAGCCCCTCACTGGGGGATTCTAGGCAGGTGCTCTACCACTGAGCCACACTCCAGCCCCTCACTGGGGTGGCAGGGCTCCACCACTGAGCCACGCCATCAGCTAACAATAACTGTTGTGATGACTATTCTTGGTTGTCAACTTGACTACGTCTGGAATTAACAAAGACCCCAAAAGTAGAGGGTACGTCTGTGAAGGATTTCTGCTTCAGTTGAAGTGGGAAGATCTACTTTTATTTTTCAAGACAAGGTTTCTCTGTGTAGCCCTGGCTGTCCTAGAACTCACTTTGTGGAGCAGGCTCGCCTTGAACTCAGAGATCTGCCTGCCTCTGCCTCCCAAGTGCTGGAATTGCAAATATGGGCCACCAAGCCTGGCTTGTTATTCCATTTTCTGAGTTAGCATCCTACTATGTAGCCCAGGGTGGCTTCAAATTTGCAATAATCCTCCTGCCTCAGAATTCCAAGTGCTGGGAGTGCTGCTATGCCTGGATTACTTTTTGTTTTGAGACAGGGTCTGGCTTAGTTGCCCAGGCTGGCTTTGAATTCACTCTGTAGCCCAGGTGGACTTTGAAATGAAGATCTTGCCTCAGCCTCTCAAATATCTGGGATGGCAGGCTTGCACTCCTGGGGGCCTGGTTTCCAGTATTGTTCTCCTAGCACGGAGGGGCGCCTTGAAAGGGTCCCAGAATACCAGAGCTGCCAGCAGGAATCCCAAGTTTACTACCTGAGAAAGCAGGTGAAATGGCCGGAAGGGACACTAGATGCTGCAGGTGGGGGATGTGGCCTGGGCAGATGGGAGGTATGGCCTGGGCAGGTGGGGGTGGGGCTGGTGCTTACTTTGCCTAGAAAGTCATTCCGGCTAACAAGGTCCCAATCCCAGGCCTCCACGGACAATGCGGACAATGCGTCTGCTGCTCCCTCCTCCAGTTCAAATTCAAATGTCTCGTTCCAGCGTGGGTAGCAGGATTTCTTCACCACCTGCTCCGAAAGGAATAGTATAGTGGCTCAGTTCGCAGGGCTACCTAGGGCCAGAGCAGGGTAGCACTACCCCACACACCTCCCCTGGCTCTGTACTGGTAAATGCTTCCAGACCCAACCGGGAGTGGTGGAGAAAGCCCGCTACTTAGGAGGCAAGACTGAAAGGTCAAGGCCAGCCTTGGCTACAAGGGAGTTCAAGGCCAGCCTGAGCAACTTAGTGAGACTCTTGCTTCAAAAATAAAAAACGAATGCCTTAAACTTATGAGTAAGAAAAATAGCAATTCCAGGTGGCGCCTCTAGTCCTCACTGCTAATGTGAGATGAACCGTTGAGCGGTAAAGTCTGCCACTAAGGCAATCCACCTACTGATAAATGAATATAGGAAAAAGGACTGGGGTGTGGCTCAGTGGTAGAGCCCCTGCCTAGAATCCCCAGTGAGGGGCTGGGGTGTGAATCAGTGGTAGAGCCCCTGCCTAGAATCCCCAGTGAGGGGCTGGGGTGTGGCTCAGTGGTAGAGCCCCTGCCTAGAATCCCCCACTGAGGGGCTGGGGTGTGGCTCAGTAGCAAAACCCTTGCTTAGCATGTGAGTCTAGGATTCAATCCCCTATACTGAAGAACTACTTCATAAGACATCACACACTCCACCAACGGGGAAACTGAGGTCCAGAGTGTACATGGGACTTCTCCAAGGCCACACAATAAAGCAGACTGCTCGGAGAGCCCAGCTCGGGACAGGCTCCCCCGGGCTGCCACCTTCATGATGATGCTCACAGAGCTAAGAAAATCTAGACTGGGAAGCTGTTCCAGAGTTTCCAAGTCCCCCACTCCACCCCAGTCAGTCAGTCCTCTAGCTTCCTCACCGAGGTCTCCTGGGTCCGGCCATTGTAATGCACTCGGACGAAAGGGTCAGACGCGCCATTTCGGTCTTTTGGGGCTAAATCCCTGGGGGTGAGATGGGGACAGGGAATTACTGCTCCTGCCTTTGTCTCCAGGTGAACACAGCAGGCCTGGAAGGCGTGGCTCATCCAGGGCTGCATGCCAGCTGGCTAACTGGATGGCAACTCGCCCCTCCCACACCACGGTCACTCATGGCCCCCTTTGCCCTCCTGACTGACCAACTGCAGAGATGCCACTGTGCCTGACTGTGGGCAGCAGAAGAGAGGGCAAGAACACCTGGGAACTGTCAGACATAACGCTTCTGTCTCAGCATGCAGGAAGCTGAGGCAGAGGATCTTGAGTTTGAGGCTAGCCTGAACTACATACTGTCAGTCTGAGACACATAGGAAGACACTCTCTCAAAAAAAGTGTGTGTGTGGGCTGTAGAGATGGCTCAGAGGTTAAGAGCACTGACTGTTCTTCCAGAGGTCCTGAGTTCAATTCCCAGCAACCACATGGTGGCTCACAGCCATCTATAATGAGATCTGGTGCCCTCTTCTGGCATGCAAGCATACATGGAAGGAATGCTGTATACATAATAAATAAATAAATAAATAAATCTTTAAAAAAAAAAGTGTGTGGGGGGGCATAGTGTACTCCCTACCAGACTCTAAGAGGAGGCTACTGTGGGTGCAGTTCCTGGGGCAGAGGTCAGAGAGGTGACTCATGGAGGTAGGAACATGTTTCTGTGTTAACCATCCTTTTGGTGGGGGTTCTTTTTGAGACAAGATTTCTCTGTGTAGCCCTGGCTGTCCTTGATCTAGCTCTGTAGACCAGGCTGGCCTAGAACTCACAGAGATCCGCCTGCTTCTGCCTCCCAGGTGTTGGGATTAAAGGCGTGCGCCACCATCGCCCGGCACGTGTTACCCATCTTGACAGAGATGGATGCTTAAGTGATGGTCCCAAGGTCCTGAGGTTGGATGCTCTATGCAACCACGTGCATATGTTTAGAACACATTGCTCTAGGCAGCTTGGTGCCACAAGGGCTGAGGATGGAGGCAGGTGGGAGCAGAGCCGGGATGGAGTGGATTGGAGAGGGAAGAACATGAACCCATTCCTCATGGTTCCAGCCTCATGGCAGAACAGAAAGCTGGGGGCAGCCACCAGATACCCAACGTGTCAACCATGGAATCCACGTCCTTCCAGTCACCAGAGAGACCACTTCCTCCCAGATGGGCTAACAGCCTCAGGGTAAGGCGCATATTTAGTTTTTCATTTGTTTTGTTTTGTTTTTGTAGAACTGACCGGCCAGAGGCTGCTCCCTGGCCCCAGGGGTAGACTGGAGGGGATGTGCTGTCCACCCCCACATTCGACCAGGACATGGCATTCCCCTTTGCTCCCATAAGAGAACACACACACACACACACACACACACACACACACACACACACACACGGGGGGGGGCGCGACTGGACAGGGAGGAGGAAACTTGAGCCAGAAGGGAAGGCGCCTCTCCTGGAGTGTCTGTGAGTCACAGCCAGGCCCAGACAGGAGTGGGGACAGAAGTTAAAAATACCCTAGGGCTGGGGGTTAGACCTGTCACAGGTGACTCAGGCCCACAGAGCCATTCAAGCTGTTGCCCCACCCCCACCCCCTGTCTGGACATATCAACAATTTTTTCCCTTCCACCCATGTGAGAGATCATAAACACACACACTCATACATGTACACATGTGAACACACACACACTCACACATGTACAGATGTGAACACACACACTCACACGCACACATGTGAACACACACAAACTCACATGCACACACAGGGTAAGTATATACTGGGGCTGGATAAGGAAGCCCAGACCTAGCACTGGGACACTGGTGTCTGAGCACACAAGGGGGCACACTACCTCTGCTCCCCTACTGGACAAGCAGGCCATTTCTCCCCTACTGGACAGCAGGCCATCTCTCCCCTACTGGACAGCAGGCCATCTCTCCCCTACTGGACAGTCAATCAGGCCATCTCTGGAGAGCAGGCGCGAAGAGGAGGCTGGAGTCCTACAGTCACGATCCGACCCCCACATCCCTCAGTCCGTCTCACCTGCCCTCAAGCACTGAGCAGCGCAACCGGCTGGCATGGGTCCCCGGCACCACCTCCAGGCGCAGGTGGATCTCGCCCTGCACCTCCTCATTCCGGTCCACCTCCATTAAGTGGGTCCAGCCACTGAATCCTGCGGGGCTTCGTGTCAGTCAAGGATGGGGCCCACCCCCCACTCCCTTCATCCCACCTGCTACCCCAGAGCTCCTCTATTACCCCTTGAAGTCCTCTAGCTATTCCCAGTGACAGATGGAGAAACTGAGGCCCAGGCACCGAGCAGGAGTTGGAAGTGCGGAGATATTTAGTTGCACGTATTGTGTGGGGCTGTGCTTTTCTGAGCATGCAGGGGCCAGAGCTGGATGTTGGGTATCTCCCGCTATCTTATATTTTGAGACAGAGTCAACCTGAAGCCCCCGCCCCCCCATTTCAGCTAGGCTGGTTGGCCAGTGAACTCTTAGGGTCTATCTGTCTTTCCCTGACAACGCTGGAGTTACAGGCACAAGCAGCCATGCCTGGTTTTTCCTCGAGTCCTGGGACAGCAAGAGCTCTCTGTCACGAAGTCAACTCTTCATTCCCTGCTCTTTCGTTATAAAGAACGGTCTCATGTAGCCCAGGCTGGCCCCACTCACACTATGTATCTGAGGATGACCCTCGCGCTCCCAATCCTCCTGCCTCCACCTCCCCAATGCCAGGATTACAGGCACATACCCTGTAATATTGAGGTTGGAATTTAAGTCAGAGGTCCGGGTTCTAGGCCTTCACTAGCGTTCTGTGCTTTGATTGCCTGCATCTGACCCTGACTGGTTGTGGAACTATCGACTCTATCCCCAGCTTTCCCTCCTTAAAACACGAGAACAGTGGCTCCCTCCTGGCTATTGGAGCGATAATCCGCAGGCCAGATGTGGGAGCTAAGGGAGCCACCAGCAAGGAAATGCACCAGGTACACCTGGTCAGCTGGGGCTGCAGCAGGAGAGGCCACCGGCCTGGCCGGGCCAGGAGGCTCCATGAGTCAGCAGAGCCTGCCACCCACTCATCCCCACCCCCAGCCTCACAGACAGGAACAGGTGCATACCCTGGGAAACCATGAGACAGTCAGAGAATGGGCTGGCAGAGCCCAAAGGACCCAAGAGCTCTTGGGCTCAACCACCTGAAAAGCCCAGAGAGGTCAAGACCTGTCTGAGGTTGCACAGTGAGACCTGGGCAGGGCTGAGACCTCAAAAAACAGTGTGTATTCTGGACTTAATCCAAGTGTCTCTGAATCTGGACTGGCATCAGGCCAATCCCCTTGGGTCTGGGACTCAGGTGGGGGGAACTGATGGAAAATAGGAACTATATTGAATGGTAGGAGTCAGGTACTAAATAGACCACTGAGGAGATGGGACATCTTACCCTTTGGGTGAGAGGCTAGCATATCCCTCGTGAGGCAGACCTTCCCAATAACATCGTCCCGGCTGGGGGTGGAAAGAGAGAGTCAGAACTGAACTGTGGAACGAATTTCCCTGGAGCCCAGCAAACGCAGCCCTCCAAGCCCAGCCCCCACCTCCAGGAAGCCATCAATTGCAGGACAGCACAATAGGGCGGATCTAAAACACACCAAACTCATGCCCCCTGGGTTCCCACTTCATAGCTCACGTCACAATGCGCATGCACATGGGTGTGCAGCTAGTCCATACACAAGCTCAGCCCCGCCTCCTCTCAGGACCTCTGGACACCCCCACCATTGGACGCAAAAGAGGATGCAAAGAGGCCAGTAGTCAGCATCCTGGTCCAGCTGCAGAGCAGGGCGAACTTACCTGAGAGCATCCTCATCCATGACATAGAAGGCCACCGCGTGGAACGTGGGAGGTAAATGGACTTGATACTCCTCACCCCAGAAGGGGCACAGGGTCTTCCACACAGTGGCTGTCCTACAGGAGAACACCCCTCACCATCTGGCCATGCCACTCCTACCTTCTTTGCATCTGGTGCCCGGTAATCATCACAATGGTTGAGCACATGATGTTTCCTTCCCATCTTTCAGTCTTTGCTGTTGGCTTCCTGTCCACCCTGGATAGGGGATGTGCTATTACTGTAATTTGGGGACATAGATCTCACAGTTGACAGTAGCCAGTCTCCAGTAGTAGGGCAGAGGCAGAGCAGCCCCCTCCCCCCGCCGCACCAGAACAGAGCTGTCAATCAACTCATGGGATTCAACAGGACACATGGTTTCATGGGAGCTGAAGTCACCAGAGGACCAGACGGAAGCTCAGGGGGCTGACCCACCCCAACTACTTCTCAGGAAGGTCATTGAGGACACCACATTGTCTGCTTCTCTGTCTGTGGGGGGCAATCAGAACCACCATAGCCCTCTCCCTGTGTGCTGCCTATGGTTTAAAGAAAGCCTGAATTTAGGCTTAGCTTGCTAATTGGTAGGAGGTGTCGGCAATGGCTGCACCGGTTCAGGTGTGCATTGCAACCCAGTAGCTCTGGTCATGAACGTTAGAGGATGGGGTCTGAGTCGGGGATGGGCAAGAACAGCAAACACCAGACCATGAAGTTGGAGTTGGCGAGATAGAGCATCGGGTGAAAGGGCTTGCCGTCCATCCTGACAGCCTGGGACCCACATGGTGGAAAGAGAGACTGGAATCCTGCAAACTGCTCTCTGACCTCCGCCTACAAACTGGGGTGCACTTTCCCCCATCCCTAAATAAATAAACGATAAATAAATGAATGACAATATATCTTAAAAACAAACCAGGGACTGGTGGAAAGGGCACCTCCAGAGGAAGCGGCCCTTCTGGGTTGAAGAACGGTTTTATTGGGAAAGATCTCTGTGAGAGAATCTCTCAGAGGGAGAGCGACACCAAGTCAGAGCACGACGGAGTTCTGGGGTAAGCCAGACTTGACATCCGGTCTGGGTTTGTCAGTTCCTTCGGTGTGAGGCCCTGGGCAAGTTACCTGGTCTGAGCCTTACTTTCTCCACCTGCTCATTGTAATGAATTCCTAGGGTTGATAAAAAGGTTAGCCAGGCCGGGCAGTGGTGGCACACACCTTTAATCCCAGCACTTGGGAGACAGAGGCAGGTGGATCTCTGTGAGTTCGAGGCCAGCCTGGTCTACAAGAGCTAGTTCTAGAACAGGCTCCAAAGGAAAAAAAAAAGTAAAAGGGTTAGCCGGGAGACTGGTGGAGGCAGTGTTCTAACTGCTCATCACTGTGTCTCTCTGGTGGTAAAGACAGAACCAGGCAGGTGACAATTGCTTGCCTACAGGGCAGGAGATAAGGATAGCTTTGGAGTTACAGGTCGGTCTTTCTCAGCTTGGAGCAGAGACAGTACTGGAGTCCCAGAGAGATGGGGGACTCCCAGCCTTCATCCATGTCCTCCAGGAGGAGCAGGTGGCTGGATGAGGGAGGGTCAGTCAGCCCTGGATTCAGGAAGGGAGCAGCAGTACCTGATGATGGGTTCATTGTCCACTTTCACGATGCAGTAGGGGTCGCTGCTGCCCGTGCTGCAAGACAGAAGGGCAAGGGACGGGGTTGGCTGGCAGCCAGATGACACCAGGCTGGGCGAGGCCCGAGAGGAGGGGAGGGGGACTAGGGCGGGAACCTTGACTGGGGGCGGGGCTAGGGACACTGACGGGGTGGAGCCTAGGGTGGGAAATTTGAAGAAGGCGGGATTTGGGGGCGGGGCTGAAACAAATTCTAGAGGACCCTGGCAGGGGGCGAAAAAGTAAAGTGCTGGGGACGGAGAACTGGGGTGAGGATGGATCCTTGCTGGAGGGTTTGGGGGAACGGCTGCCGAGAGGTCTGGAGGAGAGGCCGATGGGACAAGCCTGATGAATGAGGAATTACTACGGAGGTGGGGCTGTGGGCGGGGCTTTTGCGAAAATCCAGGACCTGGGCGGGGCTTGTGGGGACGTAATCGTTGTCGTCGGGGAGACCATCTAAACCAGGGCCAAGGAGGAAAGCTTTTCGCGGGTGGGGCTGGTGGGAGGCCTGCTGGGGGCGGGACTTGTAGGAAACTTTCTAGGGGAGGGGCTTAGGCAGCTTTTGGAAGTTTATTTTTGGGAAGGGGGACGGGAGGGGGAAGAAGAAAGGGCTTCTCCCAGGCAGTGCCTTCCATCTGCCTGAGAAGGCATCTCTAGAAGACAGTGGAGACTTAGGCACCGCCTCCAGGCTGCAGCCCAAAGGCTTTCAGAACACGAGCCCCTGGGAGGGGGATGAAGAGGGCCCTTCACTGTGGGCTTCCGAGTCCACAACGTGTGTGTGTGGGGGGGGCGCCACTCACTGCTCCTTCCCCACCCTTCGGTTTGGTGCCAAAACAGTCTTAGCAACAAAGGCCAGGCATCTCCCAGAACCTCCAGCCTCCAAACCAAACGCTGTCCCTGTATGGAGTCTTTCCCCTGCTGTCCCTGCTGCAGGCTGCAGCCTCCTCCTGTAAAAACCCTCTCCTGCCTTGGAGACAGAGTAGGGGACCCTCTGGGATCCTGCTACCCTTCGATCTTCCGCACCCCAGGCCAGGCAGGAGCGCACCTACCCATTACCTGCCTCCCTTCAGGGCTAGGAGCTAGTGTGGGGGAGAATCTTCTTTTGTTGCTTATCACAGGACTTGACCCAAGACAGGAGTCAAGTGTTTGCTGAATGAATGAATGAATGAATGATTCTGAGAAAGGAGGGCTGGAGAAGGCAAGTCCAGGATTTTCCATATATTTATACTGTGGAGCTCATGAGGTTACGAGGGTAGCGGGCAAACAGACAGTGCATATAGGGCTATCCCTGAGGTTTGTCCTTCATAAAAAGGAAGTGGATTTATGTGATTAAAGCTAGGGAAATTCCAATTTCTACTTCCCAATTCTTATTTTATTTTACTTATTTATTTTTAGATACTGGGGATGGACTCAGGCCCCTCTGAATGTTAGGCAAGAGTCCTAAGGCTGAGCCATATTATCCCGACTGTCACTTGGAAGAGTCTAATCAAGTACTCTTGCTGTTTAGCCACGCCCTCAGCTCCTCATTTGGGGATACTAAGCCAACCTTCTATCTCTAAACTACATTCCCAGTCCCTACATCCCAACTGTCTACAGGGGCCCTTGAGGCAGGGAATGCCACTGCGGCCCAAAGCCCTCCCCCCACCCCCCCCAAAAAAACCAAAACAAAACAGGAAACATCTGCCCAAGCAGTTTGGTTTCTGGAAAGCGGGAAGTGTAACATCAGCTCACGGGGTAGCTTCCCCAGAGTCTCTGAGACAGCAAGGCTGGTGTGTACAAGGTCATAGGATGTCGTGGAACTTAAGTGGTGGTCCCTGTGACTACACAAGTCCTCTCTCCTCCCGTGAGTCCGCCCTCCAGCATCCTAATTTGCATCGCACCAGCTCAAAGCTGTGAGATTCCAGGTCTCGCCAGGTGGTGGTGCAAGCCTCTAATGCCAACAGAGGGAGGCGGATCTTCGAGTTTGAGGCTAACCTGGTCTACAAAGTGAGTTACAGGACAGCCAAGGCTACACACAGAAACCCTGTCTCAACAAACAAACAAAACAAAACAAAATTCCAGGCCTCAGACAATCGGGCTAAGCGCACTCCAGGAACAGAGCCTCAATGATCAGTGCCCAGAAAAGGTGATAAAGACCTCTTGAGGCTGTGTTTTCTATCTAAAGTTTGTGTGTGTGTGTGTGTGTGTGTGTGTGTGTGTGTGCGGGCGCGCACGTGTCTGTGTCTGGGCATGTGTACATGTGAGTACAAGTGCCAACGGGATTCAGAAGAGGATGCTGGATCCCTGGAGCTGGAGTTACACACCCCACAAGGGCGCGGGGTACTGAACGTGGGTCGTCTGCAAAAGCAGTAAGCATTCTAAACCACGGAGCCATTCCGAGCTTCTAGGCTGTCTTTCTGTTGTTTTCTTTTTTGAGACTGCTTCTCGTCTGTAATCCAGCCTAGTCTCAGGCTTTTGGTCCTCCTGCCTCAGCCTCCGGAGCACTTGGGTAACAGGCATGTGCCACAGGACCCAGCTTCTTTCTGGGTTGTGGTCCACCAGAGGGCCCCCTCTGCCCTGCTAGCGCTTCCCAGCTCATGAGTTCCTTGAGGTGAGACCCTTCCTTAGTTTGTGCTGCAGACCCAGTGCAGTCTTGCAGAATGGATGAGTGAGTCGCGGGAGGAATGAAGTCATTTATAGGCGGGACCAATGGTAGGCAAAAGCGCGGAGGCAGGAGCATGGCCAGGTGGGAGAATGCACCAGAGGGGTGGGAGGAAGCAGTGTCAAGAGCGGACGGATATCCAGGGTAAAGAGCGGGGCCCAACAGCAGTCACCGGAGGGCTCCTGGCACCTGTGCCCCAACAATGCTCCCCACCCTAGCGGGGCCTGTGGAAGTGGGCCCTGCCTTCTTCCACCATTCCTTCCTCAAGCCAGTGGCCACTGGCCCAGTCTGGCGACTTGTGGGCCTCTATATTTAGGGCCTTGGCAGTTTCTAGACTGTGGAAGAGGAAGGAGAGGGCAAACCCCGAAATAGCCGTAGGCTTGTCCCCAGGGCCACAGGGTGTCGGAGCCAGTGCAGCACTGTTACTTTTTGCCCAGTCTACCCAGGTACCCAGGGAGAGGCAGGGTGGAGAGGATGGAGAGGCAGAATCAGAACACGTCTCACGATGGCAGCGGAAGAAGAAAAAATATAAGGAATGGAAGGTGTGGTGACACACTCATATAATGTCATATACTCTGGGAGGTAGAGGCAGGACGGTGAGCTTGAGGCGGCCGGAGACACAGGATGAGGAATAGATCCCTATGGTACAGGAGCTCAGAAACATGAGTCACGGCCTTTGCCCTCACGCTTGTCAGGGACTGGCAACCTCTGGAGGCTTTTACTCGGTGACTAAAATGTCCGAGAGCAACACGGGACCCAAGAACCCTTCCCAAAGGCTCCAGGGAAAGCCTCAGATAGGAAGTTTGAGAAAGGCATTGTAGGATGAATAGGAGTTTTCGAGGGGGGAGGGTGTTCTAAAATGGAATGTCAGAGGGTCTCTAATATTTAAAAGCAGGACTGACCAAGAGAAAGGCCCAAATATGGAGGCTGGCATTTATAAGATGGCTCAAGAGGCAGTTTTCAGGTCAGGGCTGTGCACGCAGCCAGCCACCAGGTGCACAGCCAGCCACCAGGTGCAAGCAGAGGACCCGTGATCAGGGGTGTCAGGAGAAGCAGGCTGGAAAGCAGGGCCTGGAAAGTGATTCCAGACTTAGGACTCCCAGGACAGGGTGGCCCCTCTCCTGGGGGTGGAGACCTCGTTCCAGAGTCCCAGAGCGGTGGGACCCAGGTAGGCACAGCCCAAGAGCTTCTGGAGTCAGGCAGCAGAGCAAGCAGCTGGCAGAGACGAGAAGGGGGGAGGTGACAGACGGAAGGGGCTGCTCCTCCCAGCCACCACCAGCCAGAGGAAGCCAAGATGACCTGGTTTACCAGTGCCCAAGGAAGGGAGGGGGTCAGGGAGTGGGGAGGACTGGGAGGGCCTGGGGAGTTGTGGAGGATGGAACCCTTTGTCGAAGCTCATCCAACAGCCACCCTAGAGACCTAATTCCCACTGGCGCCCCTCCTCTCTCCACGCACAGAAACCCACCTTGAGACGGCCCACCCTCCTCCCTCCTCATTGCCATGGCAACTGCTGAGCTGGCCTCTTCAGGCCCAGGGGGCCTTGAACTGGAATCGCTCCTGGCGCTGAGAGTGCTGGGAGGGGAGGGCCCCGGCCCGCCCGCCCGAGAGAGGTGCCCTCCCGCCTCCGCTTCCGCTGCTTCTGGCTTCTCCGTTCTCTGCAGCCAGGAACCCACCAGGGACCCGAAACGGACTTTGAACCCTAGGTCTCCCGACGCCCCACTTCTTTCTTTAGTTTTATGATTTACACTTCTCCCCGATACTAGGATTTCAGACACTCAGCTAACAGAAAAGGAAACGGAGGCTTTGCAAAAAAAAAAGAAACGGTCTAAGGCTGCACATAAAAAATCCACGAAGTACATTCGAGGAGTCCCGCGGTTGATCTAGGGAACCTACGGGAAACAGTGTGATAAAGGGGTGCATGCAAGGTCCCCAAATCTGGCCAGGGATTAGAAGAAGCTTTATTGAATATAGCAATGCAGGTTAGGAGCCCTAGATTCAAGACTTTGTTTTGACACCTTCGGCTAGCATTTCGTGTCTGTGGGCCTCGCTTTTCTATTCTGTAAAATGGACCGAAGAGAAATGCCTTGCAGTGAGCGATTAAAGGGAGGGCTCACTCAAAGTCCAGAGAGACGAAATCCTCACTCTTTGCATCACTCCTGGTCCCTTGACTGACTCCCCACTTTTCACCTGCCCAAATGAACAGCAAGCAAGTCTGGCAGACAACTCGGGGTTATTATGGGCTCTGGAAGTACCGGGAAAAAAAACCCCGATTGTTAAGGGGCATTCCGTTCCTTCCAGCCACACCCTGGGCAGTTCTCACTACGAGGCCACCCCAGCGCCAGGCTCAGTCCATTAAAACCCCTGCCCCTTTGAACCCCGATTTACTGCCACTCCCAGATCGAGAAACTTCCTCCCCTACCTCCTGCCTTCCAGCTATTGCCTCCCCCTCCATCCCAGTCAAGGTATCCACAGTTAATCTCACTGTCCCCATTTTCCTAGCCAGTCCCCCTTCGTGGCTGCACACGCCACACCCTCTCCGCTGCTCTCTTTTTGGGGAGGCCCTAAGGACCCCCGCAAAGGTCAAGTGTATAAAAGGGGATTCCAGCAAAGTTGGGGTAGCCACCCCTATCCGCTACTCACATGTCCTTGGCAGGCAGATTTTTCCCTTCTACGATTCGGATGGACAACGAGCTGCGCCTGGCCATCGCGGGTCGGCGACGTGGAGGCCTGGCGGGGAGGGATCCGGACGCCTGGGTCCCCTCCCGGGGGCAGCGCGAGTTGCGCGGCTGGCAGGCTGGTGCCAGGCCAGGGAGGGGAGCCCTGGGGCAGAGAAATCGCCTCCACTCCATTCACCCCTCCCCGTCCCTCGTGCGAGGGCGGGAAGATACTGCAAGGAAGGACCAATCAGCGAGCTGGCTGCACACAATGGGCGTGACCTCTGTGGCCCGCGTCCCTCGTTGGTCGCCTGGAGCGAGGAGGGACGGGGTCTGAGAGGAGCGCCTCCTCCACCGCCTGAATCTCAGATGGGGCGCGATCCTCGAGCGAGGGCTGAAGCTAGGGGGAGAGACCTGAGCGTGTGTTCTAGAAAATACTATTTGTGGGAACGTGCCAAAGGGAGTCAGGCGTATGCCCACCAGATCGGGATCGCCCTGGCCACCCGATTCTGCGCGGGATGCACAGTGCAGTTGCAAATCTATGAATGAATGTGCGGTGGGAGGAACTTATTTGGCAAGGCAGAGTTTTTAACAGGCCAGGAAAAATGTGGCGAAGAAGACCCGGGCAGCTGAGAAGTTTGGGGACATCAAGTCTGGAAAATAGGGCTGTTCTGGGGGCGTTTTTGTGTTGGGCTTTCGTGTGTGTGCAGGTGCACATACATGTGTGCGTGTAGAGGCCAGAGGTCAACCTCCAGATCATTCCTCAAGATGCGTCCACCGTTAAAATAATTTGTTTTACATTGGTTGATTAATTGTGGGGTTGTGACTTGCGTGCCGTGACCCCAAGTGGAGATCAGAGGACAACCCACAGAAATCTGTTCTTCCCTTCCACCTTACGGGTCTCAGGGATCAAACTCGGGTCGTCAGGTTTGGCGCAGGAACCTTTATCCACTGAGCCATCTCCCCTGCCCCACCTTGGACTCTCACTGGTTTGAAACTGACTCAGTAGTTTAGACTGGTTGGCTATTGCGATCCAAGGAGCCACTTGTATGGATACAAGATACATAGGTGACGCCATGCCCAGTGGTCCATTGGTTCTGGGAACTGAGCTTATATTATGTTCTCTCTTCTCTTCTCTTCTCTTCTCTTCTCTTCTCTTCTCTTCTCTTCTCTCTCTCTCTCTCTCTCAAGCGACAGGGTTTTTCTGTGTAACAGTCCTGTCTGTCCTGGAACCGCTTGGCAGACCAGGCTGGCCTCGAACTCATTGAGATTCACCTGCCTCTGCCTTAATTCTGCCAAGTGCTGGAATTAAGGCGTACAACACCACCGCCTGACTGAACTTAAGATTCTTTTGCTTCCAAAACAATTTAGCAATTGAACCATCCATCTCTCTAGCCCGAGATCTATATTCCAGCCCTCCACCCCACCCATACTGGTGACTGAATCCAGGTTCTTGAATATACTAGGCAAGAACTCTGCTACGGAAACAGGGAACTCAGGAGTTCACAAGGCTGCCCCAGGCAGGGGCACAGGCAGGGGGCACTCTTGGCCTCCCTGGGTACCAGGTGACTGTGGGTGTTTTCACCGACCATAGTCCTTCATCCACATGCAGAGCCATCTCTCTAGAATGGTCCACTTCTGTGATTCCTTCCCTTGTCCAATAGCCAGAGTTCTGGGTCTATAAGATCCGTCTCTTCCTCCACCTTAAGCAACAGCCAGCCCTCCAAATCTAGCTGCAGGCTTGAGTCGCAGCCCCCACTTTGCCGCTTCCTAGCTATCCCATCCCTTGCAAAGAGCAGGGAAGAGAAGATCACGGAAAGGGGCATGAAGCACAGATTCTCATTCTTGTATATTCTAGTTTTCTTTTCTTTCTTTCTTTCTTTCTTTTTGTTTTTGTTTATGGCAAGGGGTGGGTCTCTGTAACTTTGGAGTCTGTCTGTCCTGGAACTCGCTCTGTAGACCAGGCTGGCCTCGAACTCACAGAGATCCACCTATCTCTGCCTCCTGAGTGCTGGGATTAAAGACGTGCGCCACCACCACCCAGCTACTTTTCTTTTTTAATTTAAATTAAATATTTATCATTTGCCTGTGTGTGCACACATGTATGCGTGACTTGTGGCAGTCAGTTCTCTCCTTCCATCTTCGGTTCCAGGGGTGAAGCCCAGATGACCAGGCGTGAGTGACAAACTGGTTCACCTGTTGATCCATCTTGTTGGCTCTAATATCCTAGTTTTTAAAATTGTTTATGCTCACCATTTTTTTCATGTATTATTTATTTGTGTGGGGTGCCTTTATGTCATGAAGTGGGCATGGACATCAGAGGACCACTCTCAGGGATCCATTGCTCCTTCCCCTGGGTTCTGGGGACTGAGCTCTGTAATGAGGCTCTGAAGCAGGAGATTTTCCATGATGAGCTACTTCACAGCCCCACCCCCTCTTTTTGAAAATTGCTCTGTAAAATTGGAGCATGGTCTCAGATGTCTGTAATCCCAGTCCTTGGTGCATGATCAAGAGTTAGGAATCATTCTTGGCTACACAGTAAGCCCAGAGCCAGCCAGGGCCTGCACCAGGCCCTGTTTCCAGTTTTTCAATAGTAAAGGAAAAAAGAAAATAAAGAGAGGGAGGGAGAAAGGAGGAAGTGAGGCAAAAGGAGGGAAAAATTTTGTTATGAAATTCTACCTTATGCTGACACTACACATCAGTCCACTGCCCTCTCCCCTCTTCACCTCTACTCCCCACAAATATCTGCCCTTCTACTCACACATCTGACAGGTTTTTTAAAAAAATCTAGATTCAGCATATGAAATAAAACATGCAATATTTGCCTTTCTGAGTCTGAAGGCTTTTCTTAGCACAATGATCTTCAGTTCCATCCTTTTTCATACAAGTGACATAATTTTGTTCTTTCTTACTGATGAATAGATTCTATGGGGGTTACAGACATATTTATGTGCCAGACATGGGTACAGTACTCCTGGAGACCAGAAGAGGGCACCAGATCCCTCTGGAATGGAAATCTGTTGTAGGTGCTTGGAATCAAACTCAGGTCCTCTGTAAAAGCAGCAGACACTCTTTGTCTCTGAGCCACCCACCTCCACCTCTTCTCTCTGTCTCTGTCTCTCTCTGTCTCTCTCTCTCTGTCTCTCTCTCTCTCTCTGTCTCTCTCTCTCTCTCTCTGTCTCTCTCTCTCTCTCTCCTCTTTCCATTTGCCAACCTATCTACATTTTAAGCATTCCCCTGATGACAGACAGCTAGGTTACTTTGGCATTTTGGCTGTTTCAAATGGATGTTGGAGCTTTCCTGTGGGATGCTGACCTGAGATTCCTCTTTTCCTACTCATACATGAACCACAACCACTTTGCCATATTTAAAGCCAGGTGTGGTGTGACACACCTGTAATTCTGGCACCTGGAAAGTGGAATCAGGACAATTAGGAGTTCAAGACCGTGTCTGCCATCCAGGAGAGTCCAGGCTACGTGAGACTCTCTCCCACAGACAAAGCCACCAACAGATAGGAAGGTTGCCAACTTCCCAATGACCTTGCCAATTACTTCTCACTGATTTTATAATCTTTTTTTGAAAGTAATTTTATTAAATTATAAAAGTTTCCATTTCCACCCCTCCTCCCCCCACCCTCCCACTCCCCCCACTCCCTCTCCTCCTCCCTCTCCATCCCTAAGAGCAGTCAGGGTTTCCTGCCCTGTGATCTTATAATCTTTAAGTGACACACACAAAACAGTGACTTCTGAGGTGCTTTTGACTCTTTTGTTTCTCTTTCTAAGATTTTGTTACACTAGCTGGGGCAGCAGTGGCACTCACCTTTAATTCCAGCACTTGGGAGGCAGAGGCGGGTGGATCTCCTTGAGTTCAAGGCCAGCCTGGTCAATAAAATGAATTTCAGGACAGCCAAGGTGGTTACAGCGAAAAAACACAGAAAAAAAATGTTGTTACATTCTTTGGTGGGTGCGTATGTGTGTGCATTTGAGCATGTGCCGCAGCATACATACAGACCAGGTTAGAGGACAGCTTGCAGCAGCTAGCTTTCCTTCTGCTGTGTGGATGCTGTAATGGTCTGTCCTGTCCCTTTAAGAGACAAGCCCTGCCCACTGTCTACCCTCACCCCCACCCATCTGCAGAGGCAAGCAGATCTTCCATCTGCTTCAAGCCTGAGCTCCTTCCTTCTTTTCCATCTCTCTCCTAAAGAGGTAACTTCTGCTCTCTCTCTCTCTCTCTCTCTCTCTCTCTTCTTCTTCTTCTTCTACTTCTCACACCTTCCCTTCCATAACCCACTAAATAAATATCTAACCTCATTCTGCATGGCATGCCTATCCATTTCTGTCTCTCACTGATGCGTGGCTCCTTGCCTGGGACCCACTGGCTCTCATGGCCTAACTGTAGAGTTTCATTTAAACCATAACAGATCCCAGGAATCAAACTGAAGTCATCAGGCTTGGCAGCAAATGCATTTACACACCAAGCAATTTCATGGTCCGCCATTTCTTTGAGTTATCTTGCGAAACCTAAGTTAGTCTGAAATTGCCCTGTAGCCAAGACTGGCCTTGGATTCTTTTTTTTAAAATATTTATTTATTTATTATGTAAACAATATTCTGTCTGTGTGTATGCCTGCAGGCCAGAAGAGGGCACCAGACCCCATTACAGATGGTTGTGAGCCACCATGTGGTTGCCGGGAATTGAACTTAGGACCTTAGGAAGAGCAGGCAATGCTCTTAACCTCTGAGCCATCTCTCCAGCCCCCTGGCCTTGGATTCTTGATCTCACTGCCTTCCACCTCCCAAGCACTGGAATTGCAGGCATGCTGCATGCTGGATCATTTTCTAGAGAATCTACTAAAGCTACTGCCATCCTTGCTCTCTGAGTTTACCCCAGGTCTGTCTCCATTCCTCCCCTTGAGATGTGTGCACACCACATTGTAGGTGTGGTGGTTTGAAAGAAAAATGGCCCGCAAAGAAAGTGGCATTATTAGGAGGTGTGGCCTTGTTGTGGAGTAGGTGTGGTCTTGCTGGAGGAAGTGTGTCACCGTGGGGGCGGGCTTTGAGGTCTCTTTTCTCAAGCTTCCCTCAGTTGACTTCCTGCTGCCTTCTGGTCAGTCAAGAAGTCAGCCTGCATGCCTTCGTGATGATAATGGGCCGAATCTCGGACACTGTAAACCACCACCTCAATTAAATGTTTTCTTTGTAAGAGTTGTCCTGGTGTCTTATCAAAGCAATAAAAA